GTCAAATGACATCCAGCTGCCTCCCACTCTTCATGCGGCACTGGTATCGTTTTTAAAAATTCTGTCTGTTCATAATTACATGAAGCAACTAGGTGACATAGTGAATAGAGTTCTGGACTTCAAGTCAGGAAGACTTTAATTTAAATCTTAGCTCAGACACTTATTAGCTGTGTGACTATGGGCAAGTCACAACCTCTCTGAGCTTCAATTTCTTCATCTATAAATAGGGATGATAATAGCACAAACTTAAACTGCTCTGAGGTTCAAATGACATATTTAAGTGCTAATAATGGTAACCAACATTAATATGTTATTGTTTAATTATAATTATTACTGTGTCATTAATACCATCATAATCAGAGAACTATACCATTTCCCCACATTGCTGATCTCTTGGGTCAGGTCACCATTTTTTATAGAGCTGGACATCTACACAATGCATCTTCTAACCCTTAACAGCCAGAACAAAAGGAAAGAGCATCCCAGCACCAGTTCAGCCAAGCCCTTTTCATTTTGTAATACCCACCAACACGTCCCAGCGTTTTTTAAACATTGTTTTCCAGTTTCCACTGGATCATGGTGTGGTGATGACATTTTAATTTACTCCCAAGTTTCCAAGAACCTGATCTGCTCAGTCCAGACCCATCTTCACAAGCATCACCCCTTTGTGCAGTGAGAAAAATAATCCATTTTATGAGACAGAAAATAGAATTTCCTGGACACTTGTCAGTCAACAGAAAAGCAAATTGGAGCCCCAGAAAGTGGATGTGGTTCTTTCATGAAAGACTCCCAAGAACTGTGGGTTATTATTGGAGTTTATCAGTCAACCTTGACAGCTCCCTCACAGATATACTAAAGAACCCCTAAGATACAGTAATAGCTGGAAGGGGTAATCGGGTGTTTATTTGTTTGTTTGGCAACTAGGTGGTGTGGTGGATAGAGCACTAGACTTAGAATCAAAAAAGACCTGAGTTCAAATTTGGACTCAGATGCTTACTAGCTATGTGATACTGGCCAAGCCATTAACCTCTAAGTGTTTCAGTTTCTTCATCTTTAAAATAGGGATAATAACATGCCTCCCAAGATGATTATAAGGATCAAATAAGATAATATTTGTAAAGCACTTTGCATACCTCAAAGCATTATTCAAATGCTGGCTATTATTACCAGTCATTATTTATTTGTTACTAGGCATCATCTTAGAGCAGATGAAGCAAATAAAAAGAAAATGAAAGCTAGAGTAGAAAGTGTTGATTAAGCAACAGCATGAAGGAGATAGAAGAGAATGTGCTCAGAGGCACAGACAGAGAAGAGTTAGTCTTGCCAGGGAGCAAGGGTATCATTGAGATGTTGAGGAAGGGAAACGAAGGTGCTCATGGTAGGGAGCCTCAATGTTCTCAATGATGTAATATTTCTAAAGTGCTTAGCACAGTGCTTGGCATGTACAAAGTCCTATAGAAATGCGTATTCCCTTGCCTTCCACTTCAGTGAGGTAGAAGGCCAGGTTATCTGCTGAGAGAGTTAGGTGGGAAATGAGTATGGGGCTCGGGAAGAAGATTTACAATAGGGGCTATGGGGAAGGCAACTTGGGTCAACAGGAGAAAAATCCAGATATTGTCAGGCAGCATAAATTTATAGTACCTCCTGCTGGTGTGGTTTCTTCAGCAACACTCAAGAACAGAAGCAATGAAAACATACCTGAGAGTTAGCCAGAAAGAAGAGTTGACAAGGCAGAAACAACAATAGATTAAGGGGTGAGGGATTCAAGGGCAGAGAAAAGAGATTTATTGAAATTAATACTGTGAATGGAGGGGTAAGATTCCAGGGCAAGGCGGAAGACCTGGAAGGACAGCGGTGAATCAAAGGCCCAAAGATTGTACTAAGTTGAAGATCAGGTGCAGCTGGCAGGGTGTGGCAGCATTTTGGAGATTGCAGTCAGACAGAATTTCAAAGTTCAAGATCTAGAAGTATAGCAGTTTTGAGTGATAGGAATGTCTAACATGTGGGTGACTGAAGCTGGATAGAGGAGTTCATTAGAGTTGAGGAGGTTGATGAACTGTTAAAAGAGTCATCAATGTGATCATTGCCATCAAGAATGGCAGCAGAAAATGGGCTGGAAAGGAAATCGATAAACCAGATATCTAAGATAGGTGGGAGAATATTCTAGAAGGGATTGTCTAGAAGCAGCAAGGATCAAGAGAAAGTGGTATATTAGGATGTCATCAATATGAAATGAGGTGACATTTTTGAGTGAAAGCCAAGCAAAAATGGGGAATTGGGAGGAAGAGGCAAGGAGTATGGTTTCTTCTCCCTATCAGTTGTGGCAATATAAATATTGTAGGGATAGTGGGGAACTGTTGGGGTACAATTAAGGATAGCCTTTAGTAGGAAGTTCCTGTTCAGCCAAGGCTATAGGGAATAGTCAGATAGAGTTGAACATAGATTTGGTTAACTCTTACAACATGGGCTGAAGCTCCTTGGGAAAGTTGTCAGATAGAGGAAATAGAGTTGGAATCTACCCTTTGAGCAGACAGAATGTCTGGTAAAACCACAGTTTCAGAGAACGGAAGATGAAGAATGCTTCCTGCTTTTTGAGAGAGGGGTGATAGACTCAAAAAATGCAGAATGAGAGTCCTTTGGGCACATGGCCAATGAGGGTATTTGCTTTACTTGACTATGGGTATTTGTTATGAAAGTTTACTCTTTTTTTCCCCCTTTTTTGTCCAATTGATGGAGGAGAGTGGGAGAGAGAAAAAAAATGAATGCCTCTGCATTGGTTGGGGAAGGGGGAATTAAATATTTAAAATAGGCTGGTGAGAGAGTACAAGAAGCTACTTGGAGTGCAAGGCATGGCTAGTGGTGGTGCCATTGGCAGTGGGGCTCCTAGGTTTTCTCCTCTTAAGTCTTCATTTTGGTAAGTGTGAGTGATTTCCATGTGTTTGTGTTTATTTAGGCTCCCTAGCCATAGCAAACACCAGAACAGAGTGATGGCGTAAGGGTGACTCCGTGTTTCAGATCTAGCCTAGAGCTACCCATTCATTTGTCTTGGCTAAGCTTTCATCTCCTTTCTCTTACTTTAAGGGGCAGGATGCTTAGTTGGGGTGGGGAGATAGGCCCCAGTTCCTAAAAGGCTTGAAAGAAGGAGCCACCATCATTTCAGAGAGTAGCAAAGAACATGGCATCCTCAAAGGAAAACCAGTATTAGTTAATGACATGAGGCAAAAATAGTATAACAGGAAAAAGTTTATAATGATGAAGAATTTGTTTACAATAAATTTGTCGTTCCAGAAGGCACCATGAAAGGGGCAGAGGAGGGTGAGGTCTGGAGAACTATAAGGTTGAGCCAGATAAAGTTCAATAGACAGGCAAATGGAAAGTTGTCAGGGAAATGGGGCTTTCACCAAGAGCAGTGGGTTTTGATACCAGTGATTAGGGGAGCAAAAGGTTAGGAGGCCATTGGAGGGACTTGGTACCCACAGGGCAAAATTGTTTGGTTCATACTCAGTTTTCCCGGGAAGGCTCTAGTCATTCTAATGATTGCCATGATCCAAATATCCCCACAGGCATTCCAGCTAATATTGTATGTATAGATAAAGGTATTACATGTAAAATAATATATATGACCCTTTGTAGGATCCTGCTATAAAATAGTGAGACTGGTTAACCTGTGGCTCATGACATTAGCTATTTCTTTATAGTGACGACTCACATAGATGTATATAATGTATGTGAATATATTTATTTATTTATATGAAAATAAAATGGGGTACTGAACTTGGAAAAGAACCAAAAAAAAGAGATGTCATATGCTTAACGTTTTTCTTCCCCACCCACAGTGCAGGCTTCCGAAATGTGAGTGGGTGTGTTGCAATATCACTTTGAATAGATCAGCTGAATAGTAGAGAAAAGAAAAACACTGTGTCATTACTTGCAGAGGAAAAAATAAATCATAAATGCATCAAAGATTTCATTTTAAATTGTCATGGTGACAAGAAAGCTCACACTTACTTTTAAAAACCCAAGAAAGGCTCCCAGGGATAGGGAGCAGATTAAGGTCCTAGAGACTTATATTTTGAAGACAACCATTCACCATTGATCAAGAAGAAACATTTTTACACTTAATCCTGGCTAGGCTCCATTGTCCAGGTCCCAGGAGTTCTGTTCACCCCAGCTTACTGGCCACTCCCGCCCAGATCTCCATAGATCCCTCTTCCAGGTGCCCCAAACCACTTGGCCACTCCCAAATCCCTCCCACAGTCCATCTTGTCTCGTTAAGATGCTTAGATTCTTATAATCTAGCCAATGCCTCGTTAACTTTTAGACTCCTTAAGAGTATGCCTAATATGGCAGATGTTCTAATAAACCTTGTCTTTGGCTGGGAAAAAAAAAAGAAGAAACATTTTTTGGGAAGGACCTACAAAGCTGGGCTAGGGAGAAATTAATGGGATAAGAAAGCAAAGAAGAAGCATATATTGAACACTTTTTTGCCTTCAGACATTGCAGGTATACTATGCCCCAGAATTTCCCTAGTCCTAGTGAAGGATTCCCATGTAAACTACAGTTCTCCATCTATAGGACAGGAATGACATTAAGGGCCCTATGGGAGGGGATACCCACTATAAGATTCTATATCCATTTGAGTATTGTTGATAGAAGATCCTTAAGTGAGAATTAACATATAAAAGCAAAAAAGTCTTATTTTTTCAATCCCAAGTGTGATAAGAAATCCTATTAACATTTCTAAAGTAGCAGTTTAATAAGAAGGCATATCTTTTTTTTTTGAAAGATCATCTCAATCATGCATTTAAATTTAGACAAAAGGGTAATGTTGCTCTTGAAATCTCACGAAGCTAAATACTTCTCTAAAAGGTTAGTTTACAAATGCCTATGGCGTCATCATTTTGGTATATTGTTCAAAGGTTTGGGTTTTTTTTTCCTCAAATAAAGAGACATTTTATTAATTGATTTCCATATTTTTTTTTCTGCCTCTTTCATTTCAGAACGGTTTGATCATCACTGTCCCTGGGTAGGCAACTGTGTGGGGAAAAGAAACTACAGATTTTTTTATATGTTTATTTTATCTCTGTCTTTTCTGACAGTCTTTATATTTGCATTCGTTATCACCCACGTCATTCTTCGTAAGTATGCTGGCAAAATCAGATTATGTATGTAATCATTTGCTTGACTTTGGTTTTCTGATTTATTTAGCTTTGATTTAATATTTTGATCATTCAGGGTTCTCTTTTTCTTCTTTTCCCTTCCTTTAGTTCCCCTTTTCCTCATTTCAAACTGCCCCTCCCTTTTACTTTTCTCACATTTTTTTTTCCTTTCCTTCCCTCCGTCTTCCCCATTGCCCTCCTCAATCCTACCAAGGATGGTTTCCAACTTAGTGACCAATTCAGTCTTTCCTTTACAGAGCTTGGTTCCTTAGGGCCACATACATAATTTTTACCTTCCAAACCACAGAAAGATCAAGTTACTTCAACTTCTTGTGAGTGGTTCTTTTAAGTGATAACCCCACACTTGACTCCAAAGGACCACACTTCAAATGCTGACAATTTAGTTGAGCTAGATTTTGGTGGGAGTTCCCTAAAAACAAGAGTGTATTGTACACGACTGGACTGGGTTTCTTGGGTAATTTAGCTTCTTTCCCTTTCTTTTTATATCTCTTTTCCTTTCAAATGTAGTTTGTTTAGAAATAAGGCTTAACTGACATATTCAGAGAGTTTGTCATAAATAAAAATTTTCAGATGTCAGAGTAGAATATTTGACCCCCCTATTGTCTAGTGAATGATGTGACTGTGAGGAAAACACTCTAAGAGGGTTGGTTGCAATGATTTTGAGCTGATTTTTCTGAGGTTTAGGCATCTATTCTCTCCCTGCTAAACCTGAGACCTCATTCTGAAGATCACTAGGAATTTCTTTTGTCCCTTATTCTTCTCCTTTGCCTTGTCAGATAGTGACGAGAAGGGAGTTAATTGGCTTTGGGCATAAATTTAAGCCTTTAAAGATCCATTAGGGTTCCATTAGCAACATTAAAAGACTAACATTATTTCTTATCCACATTCCTAAAGTGTAACCCACCCATTAGAAGGTATAGAGCATCTTGCTGGCATGCTTCCGGAGGAATCTGAAAATAGGCTTCCTCTTCTTTCATTAGAGCAGCTCTAAAACCTCAAATGGAGTGGCTAATGCCAAAGTTAGGCATCTAAGTTTTCTACTGCCCTTTTTTTGTTTGGTTGGGGGGAGGGGGGAGGAAGGGAGGTGGAGAAGATCAGAGAGGAGGTATTTCTTAGGCATTATTCAGTATTTAAACATTACAGTAAATGGAATGTCCCAAATTTTAAGATATATTTCAAATAGTAGTGCCAATATTCTGGAATTAAGATCCTTTCATCTGAATTTGGAACAGACTGGTTTGAAGCAAACTATGTATGTGAAAACCATTGTACAGCCTTTCATTCTTGGTGGGGGTACATGAAGAAACTTAAGATCCAATTTGGAAGCCTTCTCTAAATTGTTCAGCTCCTTCAAACGGTGCAGACTATAGTTCCCCAGGGCCACCTTTTCTGCATGTTATCAGGGTTCCAGAATGATTAGCACCACATGGAGAGAGAGAGAGAGAGAGAGAGAGAGAGAGAGAGAGAGAGAGAGTAATGACAGGAAAACCAAGAGTATCACTTAGTATTTTCAAAAGAAGTAACTACCCAACACAACTAAGGGAAAAGTACCAATAGCAGAGTGCACTGATGCTAATCAGGATGATGCTTTTGAACACTCCAAAGTGCTTTCGAATCTATCTCATGGTGTTTAATGAGTTGACCCAATACTTTTAAAAGATTATTTACAAGGATATAAATCTTTTCCTCTGTCTTTCTGTGAATGTATCCCTCTCTCTCTCCACCCCCACCTCCCTGTTACACAGTCAAACCCATACACACACCTGCACATACTTGCATGCAAACTCTCACACACACACACACACACACACACACACACACACACACACACACACAAACATACACTTTCAAGCAGGAAGTTACAATCTAATCCTTGTTAACACAGTTGGGTTGGATTGTACAAAGGTCTTCAAATGAAGATTTTTCAGTTAGTTTTCTTCAAATTTGCCTCAGTTATTAGCACTTTTTGCTTTTATGCAACATTGATTTCTTAGATATTTCTTAGGCATTATTCATCAGTCTTCTCATGCAAGAAATTTTTTAAAAGATAAAAATTTCTACCAATCTATCAGCCTGCAGTAGATCATAACATTTTCTTAGACAAAAACAAATGAAAAACAATATTTTTTTCCTTCTTCCTACCTGCCCCCTCCATAAACATATAAACCTATAAGAAAGAAAGAAAGTTGGGGCAGCTGGGTGGTGCAGTAGATAGAGTGCCAGCCCCTGGGTCAGGAGTTCAAATCTGGCTTCAGACGTTTGACACTTACTAGCTGTGTGACCCTGGGCAAGTCGCTTAACCCCATTGCCTAGCAAAAAAGAAAGAAAGAAAGAAACCTTTAGCCCAATTCCATCTTATCTATCATGTGGTCCTTGAGGAAAGGGGGAATGTCTTCATGTGATCACAATTTTGATCCCCAAATACAGAAAACATTGGTAAGGGCCAAAACCTGCTTGATTGCAGCTAATAAACCATCTGTCATCTCTGTCCACAGAGTAAAAGAGGCAAGAGATAAAGTCAAAGAAAGTAAAGAATATTGTTATCTTAAAAACATGTGTTATACACATAGAACATAAATTTTTGAAAGCCACAATTCTGGATTTCTAAGTAGAAAGGTGAAATCTTTGGAAAAGCGATCTCATTTATTTTCAGTAGGGTAAGATAAGAAATAACATTTATAGTGTCCTAATTTTGCATCATGACTGCCTTCCCTGCACCTATCTTCCTTAAGACTTAACCTTCTTTTGGTCCTTGACTGTTAAGGATTTGCATAAAAGCAAAGAAGTAGAGCTTTCTTTATCCCTGCTGGTCCATGGGGGTTGAGGCATTCTAAACATCAATTTCTCCATTGTTTCTTACACATTTCCTCACATCATTTCCCATCAACTCCCATCCACCCACAGAGCTATTCTTTGCTTCACAGGGGTGTAGGATAGGTACAGGGAGGAGTGAATTGTGAATTAGTTGGAGAGTATGCAACTTTTCTGGTAGCTCCAGAATGGATTGTAGAACTGGGAAAACAAACCTCCAATTGGTAGCTGTCCCATTACCTAAACTGACAGGAAGAATGACTGCTCACATTTTCACTGGGCCCCCTTTATAACCCAGCTCCAGTTACATGGCTCGATATCAGGGGAGCCCAGGTCCCCTAAAACATAATGACAACAGATAACAAGCAAAAGCCTGCTGGAACCTAGTTAGCCAATAATATCGTTGGTAGCTCTACCCTACTGGCAGCAACTGGTAAAAGAGATCCACTGGAAGACCTTTTTTTTTTTCTTTTCTAAAAGCAAGGTAACATGTCAATGCATAAATAATAAAAATAATGTCCTCTGGTCAGATGAAATTTTACTGCGGCCCTTAAAGGAATTTTTTTTCTTTCTCGGGTAGCTCATATTTTAAATGTATTATATCTAAAAGAATTAAGTTACAGACTCAAGAGTTTGTGATCTTGTTTATGCTGGGGGCAGAAGTCTTTTATGAGGTAGCACATTTTATAGGACTTCTAGGTTCAAAAGTTAACAGATTTTGAGAAAACAGCCTTTCATAACAGAGGGAAAAAATAGTGTATGGTGTTTTGTTTTCATATTAAAATGGAGAAGAAAACAAAGGCGTAATCAGAACCATAATTGATGGGGAAGTATGCAGACATCCATCTGCTCTGGCTCAGAAAATCTCCTGCAGATGTTAGGTCTGATTATGAGTCTTGCCATATTCTTGTTGAATAACTTGAGCTGAATCTCAGTCTCCTACAAGTAAACTGCATGCTATAGCACTTACAGAATAGAATTATTTAATTGATCTTTAGACATCTACCATTTTCATGCAGATGTAAATGCTCAGCATGAACTACACTTTATTGGGGGTGGGGGGGTGGGGAGATTGCTTTGATGTTAAATCTTGGTTTCATTTCCACAGGTTCCCAGCAAACAGGTTTTCTGAATGCTCTCAAGGACAGTCCTGCAAGATATCCTTTCCATTTGACTTCTGATTTGCATTCATTTTGAAGAATGATGATTCCTTCATTTTCATTGTTTCTTTCTGCCCCATCCCTGGCTTCACTTCCAAGAGATAGAATGCTCTGAGATTCTCTGTGGCCCAGGAAGACTTCCTTAGCCACAGACATTGCAGGTAGTATCCTCTGAAATCATCTTTGGACTCATAAAGTAACATACCTGATTTTTCCAGTCTTTAAATTAGAAGTGAGATTGCCATGAGCAGTGCCAAGTGTGAAAAGCAACCACTCAGATATGATAAACCATTGCAGTTTGGGCAAAAAAAGTAAGATCAAGGGTTCTACTTCTTACAATTTGATCAGGCAGGCAATCTGTCCACCATAGTTATTGCCTTCCCACTGTGGGAAAAGCCAGCATAATTTCCTTTGTAGACTGGAAATCAATTGAACACAGAATGCAGAGTGGTGGTTGTAGGCTGGATTCCTCCTGAGGGCAGGAGAGAAAAGTGAACTGTGAGTTATGATAGTATAGCATAATGAATAAAAGTCAGAAGACCTGGGCTCTAGTCTTCCTCTATTCCTTAGTATTGACGTTGGACGAGTCACAGCCTTTCTGAGATTCTCCTGAAAGGAAGTGATAATAAGTCAAGTCCAATCAACTAAACAAACATTTTTAAGACCCTACTATGTGCCAGCACTGTGCTGAGCATTGGGAATACAAAGAAAAGCTAAAACAGAGGCATAATAGCATCTCTACGACCTACCTCACAAGTGTATAGTGAGAATCAAGTGAGATAATAGAAGGAGGAAGGGGAGCTTTGTAGACCATACCAATACTATGTAATTATAGATTATCATCATCATCTTTATTATTAGTGTGGCATTTAAAGGTAATGTTGACCTTTTGCCCATGTGGGTAAATGGAGAACCAGTTTATTGTTTGTACAGTTCTACATGGACAGCATTCCATGAAGACAATTCATACTCACTGTAATTTGGACCAACATAGGTACTATCTTAACCCCCCAAAAACTACTCTAGCCAACCCAGCAGACCCCTCTCATGTGTTGGGCAAATAATAATCTAAGGAAGACAGTTCTACAGGTACAGTTATTATTTGGGGGGTGGGGCTAGGCAATGGGGGTAAGTGACTTGTCCGGGTCACACAGCTAGTAAGTGTTATGTGTCTGAGGCCAGATTTGAACTCAGGTCCTCCTGAATCCAGGGCTGGTGCTCTATCTACTGTGCCACCTAGCTGCCCCCAAGTACAGTTATTTTAATTTCTTGAAAGGAAAGAGCAAATCCAAACCAAGAAAGGGTGAATATAACTAGCTGATTTGAACTTGAACCCTTCATTTTTGTCTCTTAGAAATGATTGTCATCTTATAATGAACAATTTTGAAAGAACAAAATAACTTAATATGGTGATAGGCAGTCTTATATAAAGAGTAGATAAAGATGTTCTTGAAGCCAGGAAGACCTACATTCCAGTCTTTTCTCTGCTAGATTGACTGTGTGACTCCAGGCAAGTCTTTTAACCTGTCAGTATTTTAGGTAACTCTCTAAGATTATTAATTCCAGAGAAGGTGCTGACCTTCATTGGTGAAGGGAGGTTACTCATCTGGGAGTTCCTTCTATTAATGAAATCACAGGTACATTCCCTCAGTTTCATCATATGTAAAAAGGGGAAGGTTTAGACTTCCGTGGCCTCTAAGATTCCTTTCAGCTCTAAACATATGATCCTACTGACTGAGATGTACCAGTTTGGTCCTCCTTTGATCACTCTGCTACTTGTGACTTTTTGGGGCCCATAGAAGGTTGGGTTGGCTAGAAAAAGAAAGGGAGAGGGAGCATTGGTAATGTGAAATCATGGAATTATGTAAAGCAATGTCAGGAGGTAGCAGGACCTCTTCCTTCCTCAAGAAGAGACACATGGTATTCTATCTGAATCAGGTCTTCTTCAGACATGTGGTTGGAGGAGAAGTTATCAGCCTTTTCTCTTTGATTCTGGGTATCCATCCTTCTAAAGGGATTACTTTGTTAATACAATACTATTCCAACTTGTCTCTGTCTCTGAAAAGGAGTGTCTAAATCTTTCAGGGAGTTGGTTTACATAGTGAAAAAAATATATTAGACCCACTTTTATAAATTTTATAAATGTCTCAGAACTTGACTCTGAGCCTGGTCTCTGTACCCGGGGAATATTTTCTGTCGTCATGAGGATGGCTGCTTTCAAAGTGCTCAGTCTTGGACACCTGTTTCTTCTCAAGAGCTGCACGAGGAAGGCGGGGAGCCTGCTGAGTTCTTCGAATTATAAATATTAATAACAATAAGCTGTTTTCTGCTGGGAGTGGAAAGAATGCTTCCTTGCTGAATAAGCACTGACAGAGAACACTGGGTAGTTTGAGCAGCCTTGTATTGTTAACTCCAGCTAGGAGCTAAGCTACCCTGCTCATCCTTCCTCCTGCCTCCAGGGTCGTGTTCCCCCCACCCCCACCCCCCCCAAGAAGAGGCAAAGCTTAGCATATTTTTTTTATAGTTGTCCTTCTCCTTTCTTGCCTCGGGTCTTCCAGTGATTTTCACAGAACACAGTTTTAATAATTCCAGGAAGACTTGTTAACAATGGTGAAGTCAAGTGTCTGGAATACTAGCAAGAGAATCCCAAGTGCTAGTTCTGACTTCATTGGTTGCTAACTTATGGTCCAAATTTGGGCAGAAAACTTCAACTGACATTTATTAGCTACCTATTGTGTGCAGAACACTGGGCCAGGCACTTAGAGGAAATACGAAAGTTTTAATGTAAAGAATCCCTGCCCTCACCTGCAACCTGGTATTTGCCTGACCTTTCAATGCCTTAATTTTTCTACATGTGAACGAGGATTAGTAACATCAACTCCCAAATCCTTCCTACCCCACAAGAAGACTGACAGAATCAGTTACCTTAAAATATAAAAGCATTTTAGAAGAAACATATCCTAAAAGCATATAGTAGCAATAATGTTAATAAATACCTTTTTAAATCTCCTGCCTCCAGCTATGATTGCTCCTTAAGCTTCCAAGACAAAGCTGTCCTATTCTATAGGATTTTTAAAAAATTAAAAAAGAAATAAGGAAGGAAAGAAAGAAGGATGGAAGTTAGGGAAGGAAGGAAGGAAAGAGAAAGAAAAGAAATCCTGCTATATTACTGTGATAGTGGTTTGAGACTTTCTTCCACTTAGGCCTCCCTACCACTTTTTCAATGAGTAGTTAAATCAGGGACCTCAAAATATAAATTGGACCCAGCAAATTTTGTGCCATGACTTGAGCAAGTCCTATGCCATATATTTGTAATTAGGCAACACATACAATTCAGATCCTGGGTTTTCTTTTTCCATAATAGTTACTATTTAACATATTTGTGGTTCATGCTGAATATAGTTGACAAGGGACATATAGCAGCAGCCATTTGAAAGTTGCATATTTTTAATAATAAATTATGCCCTCTGGCATTATCATCTTGAATCTAATTAGGTTTCTGTATAATGGCTATCACCCTATTCCTCACAAAAGAGAATGCATGTTTTGCTAGCAATGCTGAAGAAACGTGTTAATACATGCTTGTCAGCACTTTGGAATAATATATCAACTAGAAAAATAGTATTAGGAAAACTATTTGGGGGAAAGGGTAGGAAGAAAGAATGAAGAAGGAAAATGACCAAGGTTTGTTGTTTAGTCATTTTCAGTTGGGTCCAATTCTTTGTGACCCCATTTGGGGTTTTCTTGGCAAAGATACTGAATGGTTTATCATTTCCTTCTCAGTTTATTTTACAGATGAGGAAACTGAGGCAAACAGGGTTAAGTGACTTGCCCAAGGTCACACGGCTAGTAAGTGTCTGAAGCTGGATTTGAACTCAGGTCTTCCTGACTCCAGGCCCAGTGCACTGTGCACTGAGCCATCCAGCTGCTTCATATACGACAAAATATGTTTTATAGTAATATATTTTTTCATTACTGAAATACACATATGCACATAACATATAGGTGAATACAGTATGCAGGGGACGTGAACATAGCAATATGTTACTATATATCACACATGTAGTAATCACACCGTGTGCTCTGTATATTACATTCATCTGTATGTTATGTATATGTGTGTGTATTTATGTAGTATATGTACATGTACACTAAGTGATCTCCTGCATATTGTATTCATACATATGTATGTGTGTATACGTGTCTATATTTACATCTATATAATATATATTTCAGTGATGAAAAAAGTGAGAATAGGGCCAAAGTTTCCTCATGGCTGAGAGGGCTCAGCCCTACAGAATGATTTTATCAAAGATCAAAAATTATTGCTCTAGGAAGGGAGGTTTCAAAAGTATTTACTTTGTCAATGGGCCTCAAGTAAATGTTGGGAGAAAAAAAAAAGTAATGGCCTTAAGAAAAAAGTCCCTTGTCCACTGATCAGGGTACAAGAGGAAGGAGGGTAGAACCAGAGTAAAGACAGATGAAGATAGAAGAGTGAAAGAGCTGGAGGGAAGAGAGAGGGAATAATGATAATAATAATTTCCACTTGCATAGTGTTTTACATATTATAAGATTCTTTCACATACAGTCGTACGCTAGAGACATACTTAGATAAGAGTGAGGAAACAGGAAGGGGGAAACAGGTTACTTTACTTGTAACTCCACAAGATTACCATTCAAAAAAAAAAGATTTCAGAAAGCTAGAACACTGAGCAAAATATGGTAAGATTAAATTTTGCGCAGAAAAATGCAAAGTCATACTTGGGTTCAGACATTCGGTTTTACAAGTACAAGATGAGAGAGGTGCGACTAAATAATAGTTTTAGTCTGATAAAGATCTAGGAATTTTAGTAGACTGCAAGCTCAGTGTTTTGCTATAATAATCAAAAAGTGCTTAGGTAATATTAGAGAGAAGAGTAATACACAGAAATGGCCCCAGTGTACTCTGTCCTGGTCACCTCACAAATGGAGCCCCAGATCATAGGGCCCTCCCTTTA